GATGTTAACTGATACTTGAAATAGACATGTTGTTCAAGAACAAATTGTCGATTGGATTGCTTAGCAGACAACGATGAAAAAGGATTGTGTGGAAGCGACTCACTTTATTTTTCATCGACGGCGAGTAGACATAATTCGGAAGTGTTCCTGAGATTCTACTAAAGATTCCATTAAGACCTGGTCCAGCTTTAGTGCATTTCGTTGAATCTATAGCGTGACATTGTTGGCAGCGATACTTGAAAATTCGTTTTCCATTCTCGTAATCACCCTCAGGAATATGTCCGTCATCGTCAGTCTTTCGATTCCCCTTCTCATGATCTCTTTTCATTGACATAGACACAACCAACCAATTTGATGCAAAAATTTTGAAGTGACAAGCGATTGAACAAACTCATAATCAATTTATTATACCAACATAATTATGAACTCACATTGCATAATCACTTGTTTATGTAGAGAAAGTTACGAGGATAAATAATTCATTAATTGAAATGAATATGTTTTGCATACACAATTTATAGAATTAAACTTACTGTTAATAAAGTCATCAAACTTTTGCTATTCACGATCAACAATCAGAATGGCACTGATGCTATGTTCTAATGATAAGCTTTCATGTTTTCCATTCCCCCATTAGTTACGATGCTCATTCATTATGCGAGAAGGAATTCCTAAAATGATAATCCTTCGATGCGAATCTATGACCTACCTTAGCTGCCTTGATCGACCAGACGTTCAACTACAGTAACGCTGAACGGAGCATGCTGTCCACATTTTTCTATCCACTGCTTTCCACTCCCATAAGCGGACCTAATATTCGACGATGTCATCTTCTCATCGTTTTGGAGATCCGCTCAATTGTCTTGGGTACCATTTTGATATGAGTGCATATCATTACGCAACTTTACATTTCACATTCATCTGTTCCAGGCAGATTTCGAGACAGTTAAAGGCGAGTTCGGAGATGCGAAGGTAAGAAATGTTCATTTCTAAAATGACTTTATCGAATCTTATTTGATAAGGCAAGTATTGTATTTATCGCCCGGTCCATCTGTAAATGCTCATAATTACCACGTCAAGTCTCATCCGAACAGAGCATGCTACCTTGGCTACCTTGATCGTTGTACGTGTTGGTGGGGAGGATCTCTTCCACTCATCACTTTCATGTCTTTCAGGGACAACTTCAGCAGGTAATCCGAACAGCAGATACTCTACGACATCAAATCAGGTTGAAAGGTTTGGATATTGCGGCACTTAACAGAAAGGTTCTCTCTTGAGATGTTGATCCATATTAAGAGGTCATTATTAGTTTCCGGCTATAATTGCGCTCATAATTCGATCGAATGATCATTGACAGTCTGAAAGAGCCATTCAATTCTTCTGGGTCTTTAAAAAAACGTATTGCTTCACAAAGATATTGAATCTAATCATAAGATGACAGATTGTTTGATACTCTATTGTTATATTGATTTTTAAGATAGCGAATATAACCGGACGATTGAATTCAATGAAAACGTCGAAGAAGAGTGGTATGGGTCGGAAACTTAGAGGACTGCTTAGTGCAGTTAAAGCTCATTTGGTACTATTGGATGCACGTCTGAAGAAAAATGAATGTGCTGGGAAGCCGTGTCAAAATGGTGGAACATGTATCGATTTGTACAAAAAATTCATGTGCATTTGTCCGTCAGCATTTGAGGTATATAGTGAAGAGTTGTTCGAACAACATTTCTGGATATAGATAATGAGATCTTCCGGTCGTTTACCAACTCAACTTACTTTAGATCGGCAACGAAAGATTAGGGGTGTTCCCGATGGAGGAAAAATTTTAAATAAATTTGAAGTGTTTATGTGATTAAAGAGTGACTGAAATCTCTGAAAGTGAATCAAGTGTTGTTTATATGATTTGCACACCGAGTACTTTGTACGTGAATATAACATTCGCAATAAGAGATGAGTTTCTAGGGAACTACTTGTGAAAACAGAGTGGACGAATGTGCACTCTATGAGGGTACGCATGCTGGATGTCAGAACAATGGAACCTGTGTGAACAAAGCGACTGGTTTTCAGTGCGTTCTATTCGATATCAGCTCATGAATCAACACTTATCTCTTTCTTTTCGATTTGGGATAATTTTCATATGGCTGAGAGAGAGATATATATACAAGTACACAGTCTTTGTAACTTATCATAATGTGAAACCACTATAAAGTGCTAACAAAACCGTCAAATGCAAGCTATCGTTAACTTTTGGGAATTTTTNAATATTGAGGTGAGCAGCAGTCAACAAGCGTTGAAAATGCTTAACATTGAAGGAATATTGAATGTCGAGGCTGTTTGATGCCTGTGTCCGAATTTTCAGGTGTATATGTCCGAAGGGGTACCATGGTAGTCGCTGCGGGCTCCGAGTTACCGCGTGTGAATTTTCATTTGATCTTTGCGGACCAGCTGGTCATTGCATTCCAGCGCCGCCTGTAAATGATTCGGGCGAAGTGAGAGCTTAGCAATGTTTTAGTGGTTTCGACAGCTGCGAATTTTCTCAGTTGCCAGCGAACATATCCAATTTTCTGATATTATTTCAATGATCACCATCAAACAGTGATTATTCCAGTTATGCAAATGTATATTCCAAGTCTGTATCAACCATTTTTCCATTCTACACAAAAGTAATGAATATTTCAAAAAATTCTCGCGACATGAATAATCGTCATAAAATAAACTTGAAATCAGTCTTAACTAATTAAGCCCGGATATCGTTGTATTTGTGAATGGGGTTATCGGTCAACAGCGGACAAGGCCAATCCGACATGTGAAGATATCGACGAATGTGAATCAAATCCTTGCTATCCAGGTGCAACGTGCGTCAATTTACCGGGATCCTTCAAGTGTTCAGGATGTCCAGCGGGCATGACCGGTAATATTGTTGCAGTTTCTTAACCTCGGAGAGAAGTCTCGCTTTCGAGTTCAATTTAATTAATCATTTTTGGTTACTGTGAAGCGACAAACAGTTATTGGCTGTTTTCTGAGCTGTCATCATCAGTTGAACCTTCAAATAACATACGTTCGAGAACCCCAATCGCATCCATAAATACAGCCAAATATTTGGTGTCACTCAGTCCAAATGCTTCTAATAAATGAATTTGCCCAATTGATCAGGGAATGGCGTCAACTGTTTTGATATTGATGAATGTGCTGACACGGAGTTGGTAACGTGCTCCAAAGATCCACCCGTGCAATGCATCAACACGATTGGTTCGTTCACATGTGCCGCATGCCCGCCAGGTAACCAAAAAAGTTTCATCATTTTCCTGAAATATCTATATCTCTTACTGATTTGTCGAATCCTTGAAATTGCTGCCGTAGTTTCTTGACAGAGAAACTCAGAGAATTCACGGAAAGGAAGTATTTTATTGAGCTCAGATCGTAAGACTGTTGCACTGTTCAATAGAGCCAGCCGCTATGCTTACTATCATTAGTAATTCGATTACTGTAACCTGTTGTTCCACTTTCATCCGATTTCTGTCGATGTGTGTATGATTCACGGAATGCCCGTCATCACCGGAATATTTCTCTAGTTTACATATGCTGCTTTAATTTGTATTCAATCGATCAAATACCTCCCAGTGGTCATTGTTAATTATCTTGATGTTGTGTGCCTTGCCATAATTTCTATGCGCTGATTATTGAGGAGCGCTGCAAAACATACTGCAAGACTCAGTCATTTCCATGAAAAACTGAGTCCGAAACGTTTCATTAATTTCGATTCTGGTCTGGTCTACTCTTAAAGATGGTCGTTATCACAAAGGTGCATTTCAAGGCTACAAAGGTGATGGTCGTATTTGCACAAAACTGGACCCTTGCGAAACAGCACCATGCTATCCGGGTGCTAAGTGCTTCAATATGGGTTCAGCATCACTGACTGAAGGTGGTTATCGGTGCGAATGTCCACAGGGTATGATCGGTGATGGCATCGGTCGAGAAGGATGCTACCGATCGAATGCGACGTTGTGTAGCATTGATACGTGCTACAATCAAGGAACATGCCAGGTTCTGTTCAAATTACTTTCATTTCACTCATCAAAGAGTTCATGGACTATACATGTCAGGACTCTTTTTCGTTACAAA